GACCGCGCGGGACATCGAAGGGGAAGTCCGACCGATGAGGCGAGCGACCGCGACATGAATCGAAGGGACATCGAATAGAAGGGACATGCTCATGGTTCTGTGGTTCTGAACATGTTCAAATTGAACAGCATGTCCCTTCTGAACATGTTGACTTCGAACTCCTGTTTGTCCTCGGGCATCGAACTCCGCTTTTGGACCTGCCACCCGTTGTTGCCCACGCAAAAAGGCTGAAACCAACATAACCGTCCCCCAAGACGTGGCTGAGTCATCGAGTCCAGGCAGCTGGGTCACCATAGATAAAGTTCTGAAAGACTTTCGAGTCGACAATGGTAGGTTCCACCACCTCTCTCTCCTGCGTTCGCAGACTCTCCCCACAAAACACGGCCGCGCAAAAGCCGGAGTCTGTTCAGCCCGTGGAAAACGTCCAACTTGGACAAGTCCAGATGTTGCAGCTCAGTCTGCTTGGAGTACTCTTAGAGAACACATGGGCATTGATTTTGGTACAGGGGCTGGACGACTTGCGCTATTTTCACCATGGTCCAAGATTTGTGTGCAGTTCTTTGTTCCATCTTTTTCACCCCACACCATCCGCTAGGATCCATCGTCGTCGAAACGAGAGAACTCTCTGGAACGTCCTGCCCTGGCTCCACGTGGAGAGCGCCAGGGCTAGGCCCCGAAGACTCAGACCCGCCATGTTTCTGCAGAGCCAGGCTACCGGGAACTGGTCAACTTCCATGTGAGTTCCACCAGCACCCGACTCGAGTCAGGAAACATCCTGGTTCTGGGTGTCCAGAAAGCAGCTGTTAGGGTCTCCAAACAGCCAGCTGTGAGGGTCCTGGTAGAGAGGGGTCTCTCTGTCACCCCTTACACCTTCGGACCGCGGAGCACCGAAGGGTCGAATTCGGCGCTCGTTCGTTGACGAGCCGTTCCCTGTGGAACCTGATGCGGTGGTTTGGGGTTGGTCAATGCCTCATTGAGAGCGTGATAAATATACTATAAGACAAAATAAGACACGACATATATGTGCAAAATAGTGCACATGTATGCGCGAAGAATCCCAAGAGTTCAGAGACTCCATGAGACTACCTGTAAACCAGCCCCTAGGCCCTTAGTCGCCTTAGTCAAACTCATCCAATCCAAAGAATTGAAGAGAAGATCAAAGCCCCACCCTATGTCGGTGGTGATGGGTTTGAGGTTCGATTTGCCAGAGAGAGTTGCTTGAAAGGATGGCCACAAGATGCCACAAGTATCGGGGCCCAGTTGATCAAAACCTGTAGCCTCACCAAAATGCCTCAAAGTTGTGGAACCCTAGAATGCCCCATATATGCCCAGTCCACCTCTCAGTCCACGGTTCTTTGCCCACTGTGCGTGACCCGCCCTTCATGCACCAAACGCACTCCGAACTCCTGCTGCAGCTTCCTCAACGCGTGCCGTGCGGATCGTGCTCAAAAAAACTTGGCAAGTCTGCCAGGGAAGCTTGTTCTGTCTCACTGGTCCCACTGGTGCGCCGGCAGGAAACTACTCTCCTATATGTCGTCAGGGCCCAAATCAATTACATAAATATGTAGCCAGTTGGTGTGAATTCATTCAACACGGTGCACCATGTATACTGTATACTGATGTTTTCTTCAAAGGCCGCCAACCCTGTCCACTGCTCGGAATTGACCTCGTCCTTACGTGGCCCTTTGACACTCTTCTGCTGGTTCTCTAATTACTCTTCCTTCAATTTCCATCCTTCACTTCCTGATTCATACTTCTTGGGGTGGTTGGATTTTCCCACCTCCAGCTTGACCCGAGACCCGCCCTTGCACGTCGCAACGAACGCCGCAACACGCACCGCTGCGCCGGTCGAGGTGCTTCCCGATGAGGTCGCTGACCATGTTCTCCACCGCCGAGGAGGACTACGCGGGACCGTGTGGCGACTCCCGGACCGAGCGGGGGCGAGAACCAACAGACCCGACCGAGTACGTTGAGACAGGTAAGATACGAGTACGTTGAGCCAGAACACGAGCCTTCTTTCGGGGAAGAATCTGCCCAATTCTTAGATCTACTGATCTACCCATCTGCTGTCATCTGCTGTTCCTCTTCTCATTTGCGACACCAGGCTGTAGCTAGATCATGCTAGATCGGACTCATTTCCTGCTTAGAGACTAGCTCGGCCCGCATCGACCCAGTCGACGAGTCTCGCGGTCAACCCAGTCCAACGGTTCGAACTCGCCCGTTTTGGCCAAAACGTAAAAAAAATAACTCTGGAATGTTACCCTAGGCTTCCAACAACCACTATAACATACTATAACTAAATCCTGGAAAACCAATCCCAACCAGAAACAAATGGTTGGAACCCAATATGGCGCCAGCTTGAAATCCTGTAAACATAGGAAATGGCTGAGACTGGGGAAATATCCATTTGTTTCTGGTTGTTTGGTTTCCCAGGATAGGCTTTACCGAATCAACTAAGGATTTTACACTGCAAACACCAGGTCAACCATTTTTTAATGGTCTTGGAAGTCTATATAGGGTTATGCATGTCCTTTTGCCGCCCCACACCAAGAACTGGTAGACCACAACTGGGCCCCAGTTTTCAGAAGCCAAATGCCGATGGATTTCGGCGGCCACCAGCCCTACTTTCGGAACCACCATTCCGAACCCATCAACAATGAGAGGGGCATCACGACCTCTTGGCACCTGGCATCAAGTGTGCCATGTGCCTATAAGTGATGCGGTATCTATCCGCATCCTTTGTTTTAAAATCACATGCCGTTTTGGCACCTCTTGCTTTGCAGCGACGGTTTCCGCTCGGGCTCGTGGCTTGGAGTCTCTCAACGTGGGGCGTTCGCGTTTAGCCAGGGAGAGTGTCTGGGTCAGCATGCAACCAAACCAGCTTCAAACAGCCAAAGGTTGGCCAACAGAGTTTCAACAGAGGTTGTTCAACTATCCCAGTTCGGTACGGTTCTCCAGGTCCTTCGAGCCTTCCGTCTCCATCGATCTCGCCTTCATCACGCGCTTCAGGCGCGCGGCGGTGACCTCCGGATCCTGAAGGCGGTGACCGCGTGGAGACGCCCGGAGACACGAACGACCGAAGCCACACCAAAAGTGGTTTCTAAGCTGTCAGTGCTGCTCACCAAACGGAGTACCTCCAAACAACAGCAGCAATCCACTCTCTGAGGCCAACTGGTTTTGTTGAGGTCATAAGTGAAAGCCTAGACCTGCAACATCTATACAAAGTAAGTTCAAGGCCAAGTTTTGCAGACCTTCCAGAACGGAACAACATGGAACGCTCATGTCAGCATTTGACGAAAGCCTGACCACGATGGAAGTGGACAACACCTGAAACCTGCAACGCCAACGTTGCGCCCAGGTCTCAGGCGGCACGGTCTACCCGGCCTCCAACATGGGCGCGAAGGTTTTCATCGGCTTCAAAGGCCTGGACTCGAACGGCAGGGCGGCAGGGCGGACGAACGCGTCACGGCGGCCACCAGAGGAGAGTGTTTTTTTCATATGATACACCTGGCCGGCTGGGTCCACATGGTGAAACTGCATCTGCGGCACTTGATGTTTTCTTCCAGGAGTGGTTCAGACAAACCCGCGAGGCTCACATCCCAATTCGCCAACAGGGCGCCCCCCCCAAAAAGAAAGAAAACACGAAGCAGGGCATCAAAAGGGCCAGGCGCCACCGGACGCCACCGGACGTAAGAAACAGCTCCGGACGACCCTTCGGTGAACCACCACGGCAGCGGCGCCTGTTCGACGGCCTCATCACCTGCACCGACGCCGCCTGTGGCGTGCCGGCCGTCGTGGCCCGTTGGGGGAGAAGTCCTACGACTGACTGCACAAATGAAAGGAACAGACCCACCTGACCACCTGACCCCTTAGTTAGTTTTAGGATCGGATGGCACGTGATGGCGGCGTCCTTCTTTTAACGGTTCTTTGTTGATGTCATGAGGGCAACGGATTTGGGAACCAACTGCTCGTGCAGCTGGTTCCGACCCAAAAGACCTGACCAAATGACCCTCGCGGTCTGGAAAACCCGATTTTGACCTGTCAGATGTTCCACCAGGCACTCCAAGTCCAGCATAAGAACCGGTCGCTCGCGGGTGTCCTGCAGGTTCCGTGTCGGAAGCTCTTGGGATGTTCCTGGCCCTGCAGGCTCTTGATTCATAAACCCCTTCATTTGAGTTGGAGTTCCTTTTGGTGTGAATGGTTTAATTAACTAGTCAAGAGTCTCCTTTGCAGGCGTTTCTGGACACCAATCCAATGCTTATGTCTTGTGTGATGCAGCGAGGAAGCTGAGCAGGTTATACAACTAGTACACCCAGGGAACAAGCCCTTCACACACATGGATGTGAAAATCAAGGGACCCCCTAGCTCAATTGGCGCAGTAGACTGCATAATGTTTGTCCTTCTTCCACATCAACAGGGAGGTCTCCCCGTTTGAGCAACACACCAAGACCCTTCATTGACACATTCCTGACTTGGAGACCCCGCAACAGCCCCATTACGTCCGGACATGATGGATGCAACCCGCTAGGTGGCACAAGTCTCCTTCCCGTGCTGCATGTTTTACACCTTCAGTGCTTTGTGCCGTCGCTCTGAATGCAATGTTTCACTCAAACTTGCACTTGCCAAACAACTGCGATTCAGAGTGCCCAAATGTTTCTGAGAGTTGTGGCGGCAGCGGCGGGACACTGAAACACACGAAGGTGAGGAGGCGAGTGGGCCTCCAAATGGCGCAACTTCCACGTTCACACGCAAGGGATCAACATGGGATCGGCAAACAGCATATTCAAACCAAGGTTGGGTGATGCAAACCTCAACATACCTCAACACAATGGCCAACCAAAAAAAACAAAACGAGGGCAATGATCTATCCTTTCGGTGCTGTTTGACCAAACGGGTGAAACCTATTCATATTTATTTAAAAAGGTGTGGCTGATCCTTCCGGTGGCATTTCTAATGCTGGTCACCGGCTGGTCATGACCAACAACTCTCTCGCATCATTTTCCATCGCCCTTGCCTCTTGCAATCTGGTCCTATCTTGCGTGATGTCTCTTCATTCGCTTGATGCCAGTGCTCTCCAACAACGAAACGGATGTCCAATCTCCCCGCCACCTTGCATACTGCACCGGAGTTGAGCAATCGTCGGTTGTAACCCGGTCACGATCGGCTCCGGCCTCAAGCAACACGCGAACCGCTTCGGGCATGCCATTATAAGCTGCCAAGTGGAGGGGGGTGGTACCGCCCGCCTCCCTTGCGACTGGGTCACAGGAGGCCCGGGCCTCAAGCAATAAACCCATGAGTTCGGCATAGCCGTCTCGAGCTGCCAGGTGCAATGGGGTGAAACCATCATGGTCGGTCTGATCACACAAGGCCCTGGCTTCTAGCAGCAGGCGGGTTGCTTCGATACGGTCGTCTTCTGCAGCTTGATGCAAGGGAGTGGAACCATATGCAGTGGTTTTGTCCGGAGACGCCCGGGCCTCCAGCAGCAATTTCATTTCCTCAGCCCCAAACAAGGTCGCGTAATGCAAAGGAGTGCTGCGAAACTCATCTTGCGCAGCCTGATCCGGACAAGCTCGGGCCTCGAGGAGTAGTCGCATCACTTCAATGTGACCAATGGCCTCATGCAACCCACTCTGTCCAGCCTCGTCCACTGCATCGGGGTCCTGTGCCCGCCGCAAGCAGGTATCCACCTCTTTCAGCCAACCCTGGCCACAGGCCCATACGAAGCGTTGATCCCGTTGCAGGTCGGGAGGGCAAAGAGCCAAGCGCACCAACTTCAAGTCCAACGGTGGAAGCAACACGTCGCCATCCTCCATCTCCACATCAGCGCCACACAGCAGCCGCATGCGAAAGCGAGACTCGCCAAAGCCTCGGGAGATCAGTTCCAGCTTCAATGCCCCAGCTGTGTTGCCATGTCTGTCCACTAAGGCCTGGAAAGCCCTTTCGCCAAAATCGGCGAGGACTTCGCCGGAAGCCGCCCAGCGCACGGAGAGATATGCCATCTGCGGAAGGCTCTTGGGTTCACAAGGGTTCCTATTATGTTTTTCATGATCGTCACCCTTCACCTAACAAGTTCGGGCGTTCACGGTTTGACAACGCCTGAAACTCGCCAATGAGAAACGGCACTCCCTGTCTGAGGCCGTTTGTTGGGCCCTCACTCAATGTGTGTAGACTCGGTTTGTAACGTGATCCCATTAACGAGACGCCGCGTGATCCCTGCAGCAGCCGGTGTCCATCCTCAAACGGAAGCACCACCAGCGAACTGACGCAATCCAAAGCTTCAAAAACCATCCTCACCTGCAATATGATCAATATGTCCAGATGTTTTTCTGCCAATGCACAAAGCAAACAAAAAACATCCGTCTTCCGTCTCCGGCATTTATACTTGAGAAAAACGAAGGTCTACAGCACCACGAAGATACCACAACCTCTTGCAAATACTTTTGTTTTGCCGGGTTGTGCTCCTTACTGGCCCAGAATGTAATGCTTGCGGCTTTCAGATCCCCTTGTAGTGAGGGAACCAAAAGGTTTCCTCGTGCGTGGGCCTGCAACTGTCCAAAACACATTATCATCAACGGGCATGAGACTCTACAAAATGGAAGGGGTCCAGCCCAGGTCCTTCAAAAACCTGCCACGTCAGACCATGGGAATACAAACTACTGCGAAGTCAGCGGCAGGTGAAAAGGAGAAACAACGAAGTTCCGAGCACAAGTGCCCGCTTGGCACTCCCACCGCGCAAAATGATCAAAATGAAAAGAGGAACGTAATCAGAAACTTAGATGAAACTGTGACAGCGATGGCCGGGAAATAACAATATAATGGTGACTGCAATTCGATGGCAACGGATAGTCTAGAACAAACGGCGTTGACTTCAGAAACTGACTAATTTGGTTGGTTCCCTGAGCAAATGACAGGAGTGGCGGACCTTACTCCAACCCAGGCCCAGCAACGCCTTCATCCACTATTTCTTGGGACGACCCGGTCGGGACACGGATGGTGCAGTGAAACACCTTCTTGAACGTAACCTGGCACTGTCTCATTGGGTCAGCATTTTCGCGAGATGTGTCCAATGAGATTGGCTCTCTACCCGACCCGGTGAGGTGGAGCTTGTCGTTCTGCAGCCACAGTGCCGCAAAACAAGACGGTCTTCTGTGGGGTTTCACCATGGATGTGTCCTTCTGTCGGGGAATCTGGACCACAAAAGAAACATCCGGCAAAGGCCGCGGGGCTGCGCCGCTTCGAGTCTTGACAGCAATGCACTCATAAGTTCTACCGTTCTCAGGCCCTGCACTGACATTGCCTTGGCCATGCTGCTGTGACGCTACGATTTTAACAGCATTGGCAACTACCATATTGAAAGAATGTGCACACCTTTTGTTCAGGCAAGAAACGTAATTGTAACCCATCTGCCGCCTCAGCGCGTACCTTATCTTTTTTGTTTCTGGTGGTTGCGTTTATTGAATAAATGGGGCGTCTTCACCCGGCGCCCGGGTGCCATCCCAGCAACGAACTGCACGCCGTCTGTTGATGGTAACTGCCACGCACTTTGGCTGGTTGTGGTTTGAGCTGTAGTATTCCGACCCTTCCTCCACAGCGGCCTGATGCTTTGTGACGTTTTCATGGTGAATGTCTTCAAAAATGATAAGCATTTGTTCCTTCTCGTGCCAAAGGTGTGCTCACTAACCGGCACCAACTCAAAGCGCTATGAAGGAATCCGTCACACCCGTAGGCACCCCTAAAGGCAACCATCTCTCAGCACAGCTTGCGCAGCAAGTAAACATTTGCACGTCAGGGATCTTTAGTGTTTGGAGTCCGTCAAGGAGCCTAAACTTCACGACTGCATCGAAAATTCTGTTCTTGTTCCCTGCTGTACAGTGAGTTTGTTTCCAATAAAGCGTACGCTCATCCAAGTGCCTGTGGCTGCCGCAATTCGTCTCAGTTGGGAAGTGAGAGTACCACCAAGATACGTAACTTCATCTACGTGTGGGACTTGAGAGCCGTCAGTAAGTCGGATTCTGTTGTTTCCATTCATGACGAGTACACAGCATTTGCTTGGATTGAGTTTTAATCCGCAATACGCCGACTGGCGCTCAATAGAATGGAGAAGTTTGTTCATAACCTCGTTGTTCTTTGTAACAAGTAAAATGTCATCAGCATAGAGGATCTCCAAGAAGCTAATTTGATCAACACGACTGTTGCATATACCAGCATCAATTTCGGCATGGATATCCCTAAGTAAGAGTGGACATCCTTGGCGGATACCAGCGGCTTGCGCTCTTCAAGCTGAAGTTTTTTTTGGGCGAACCCCCCCATTTTCCATGCAGCTCACAGCCAAACTGTATAGCATTTCTAGCATCGCAGCGCGCACTTGCAGCCTTTTTGAGTATCAAGAAAAGTGCGTATGGTAGCGGAGCTGAGAAGGAGGTGACCCCTCTGGAAAAAAAACTAGGTCACTGGGATCCCGGGTGCAATTTCGAGCCATAGATTTGGAGCCTTTGGAACCCAAACAGCTGGACTGGTGGAGAATTGTTGCGAGCAACACTCTGTACCCAGTAGCTTGCGTCAAAGGGACATTAGTACCAAGAAGAAATGGAGGAGGTCAGAAAAATCCTTCAAACTGGCGCAGAGTACCCTGGCAACAACATCAGCAGCTGAGGCAGTGAAGAAAGCAGCTCAAGACAAGAAATCGACGACAACAACAACAACAATAAATTAGTCAAAATTGATAGCAGCGCCCAACATATATGATTACAAGTCACAGGATGAAGAGGTCAAGGCATTTAGAGAGTGGCCATGGGTCTTTGAGAAGTATTTATTTGGGTGCAGTTGATGGGGGCTACATGAAAGACCTGAAGGAAATTCGCGATGAACCAAATAAGAAATTTGACGTGGACTTGGCAACTGTCTCAGAAAAGACCAGGTGCATCAAGTTTTATGGATTGCTAGCTTCACTGATGAGAGGAAGAGCACTGCAATTGGTGAAAGCGCCTGGGTGAAATTGAATACAGCTTTGCAGCCAACCTCAAAGGCAAGAGGATTAACACGCTTGGGGGCAGCCACTACATGGCCAGTTTTTTCAATGAACAATGCACTGCAACCTTAACTCTTGAAGATTGAAAAAGTATTTGGTGAGACTGCCAAGGCAAGGACGGCAATTCGGGAAGAGTTGAAACCTGCTATACCTTTGAGGTTTGTAGATGGAAAATTCAAATCCTACTTGCACTTGACAATTGGTTACAATGTGGAACACTGTACTTTGAGGGAACATGTGTTGCAATGGGACCGCCCTCAAGCAGGAGTCAAAACGTGGGGACCCCACAAAAATTCCAGAAAGGGACGAACCACCAGAGTTGATGAGAACCACGGTAGATGGTTAATGCCTGAATATTGTGGAAGCATGATGCAAAAGGACGAATTTGATGAGCAATTCTTTGATGATGATGCAGTCATTCCTTCAATCACAATCTTCAGCTATGAGCCAGCACCACCAAAGGACATGGGCTTCTTTGCACCGGGACACAAGAAGCTTTAGAGCAGAGAGCAGAGAAAGAAAAAATGCAGAAGGCCTTAGAAGAGATTACCCCTACTCCCCAGGAGAAGGATGTAAAAGGCCAAAGAGAAGAGGAATAACATGATGAAGACCCTGATTGCGAACTACAATTGAACCCAATGGATGTAGACAAAGTCTTGGTGACGGAGTGGAGTTGACTAAGGATTCACCATTGGCAACTTTAGAGGCAGCATGTTCATGTCTCGGCATTTCAGGCAGTGGCCCTAGGCTAAAGGTCTACACCAAGATCCTCAAATCACAATAAACGCTTGGCGAGTGAAGCAGAAGCTCAGGAAACAAGAGCGACATCAGGACAAAGTGCGGCAAACACGCCAGATGAAGCAACTCAATCAAGGCACAGGTTGGCACACGTGCCATATGCCAATTGGTGTAAGGAGTGCGTTGAACATCGAACACGTCCAGACCGCCATGAAAGAAACAGATGGAATGAAGAGAGGCCTTTTATTCCTGAGGTAAGTTTTTATTTTTGCAATACAAAAGCCTGGGGCTCAGAAACAAAGTAAGCAAGAGCACTATGTTGGCTAGTTGCAATTGACAGCCAGACTGGATGCATTCATGTTGTGCCATTAGGCAACAATGGCCAATATTGCATAGTTGTAAAAGAGTTGATGAATATCAGTCAATTGCTGGGGCATTCAGCAATCACTTACAGGAGTGGCAATGAACCCACAAGAAGGCAAATCCTCAAGATGCTGATCAATGCTCGCCACAGGCTAGGACTCACTACCAGGCTGCTGAATTCAAAGCTTGGAGATCACTCACTCATTTCTGTCAAGGTATACCGTTGACAGGGTGAGAAAACTTGCAGCACCTTGTATTAAATGTGTGCCGTCAAAACTTGGTACCAAGATTCGGTTTGATCGCGCACGTTGGACTTGGGCAGCAGTGCTGAACAGATTTCAGCGAGTCAAAGGTGCAACTCCATCTGAGTTTGTCTATGGCAAGGGCTACAAAGGACTTCTAGCAGAATATGGTGAACTAGTTCATGGTTATATCAAGAATCTCAACCACAAAAAAAAACTAGATTGCATTTCTTACCGGCCTACTCAACATTCCTCGAGAACATGCAATGGTGAAACTCAGCGGTGAAGATGCAGAAGAAGGAATGGCAAAGGCACTGGAGGGAGGAAATGTTTTAAATTTTTAGAGAAAGCAGAACAGCTATTTGCAGAGCCAATGGAGATTCAATCCCCGCTGGAAATCCCTTTTTTCGGTGAAAGGGCGACTACTCCTATACTACCTTCAGGCCATCATCAACTTATCAACGACCAGGAAAAGCGAAGTGCTTGGGGAGGAATGTCCAATGAAGAAACTCAGGCCACAAATAGGTGATTCAAACTACAACGCCCAGATTAACATGCCGGAAATTGGCGGAGAAGATCTTTACCATGTGGACGAAGAACCACCCACAGTTGTGGAAGAAGTTGGTGAAGTTGACGAGGAACAATATGATTCAGATTTGGAAGGCATCAATGGGCCTGAACGTTTGCGGCGTGATGGGGAACATGAACCAGAAGTATTGGTAGAATAGCGGGCGCTAGAAAAACCAGAAGGTCGCACAAAAAGAATCAGATTCCTGACAACACGCAATGCGCATGACTGGAGGAGGAAGCGTATCAACTTAGAAACAAAATTTCAGTCAAAAGGCGCAGAGAAGATCCAGACTAGTTGCAGGAAAATGCAAAGAGCGAACGAATGACCTACATTTTGAATTTTGATCTTGCAGTCACTTGCAGCCACTTGCTCAGGCAGCCGCTTGCAGCCACTTGCAGCCACTTGTCACTCAAGAACTTCAACTTCAACACGTGCACTTTGAGTTATGAAAAATTACAAGATTTCTTCGTCGCTAGCTGCGGAAGTTTGGACTTTGTTCTCGGACAAGTCTTGGATTATTTCATGAGTTCTCCGCGCGCAGTTCTGGAGAAAACCGGAGTTTCTTCACAGAATAGGATTGCAGAAATCGTGGTGGTTTTCTCCAGGGCTGCATGCGGATAAATCATGATATTCTCCGGACTGAAGAAACAGTCACTGGCAGGCACTTGGGAGCAGTAACTTGCAGCCACTTCGCAGCCACTTGCTCGGGCAGCCACCCACTGCAAGCGGCTGCAAGATGGAAAGCCAAAATGCGCACCTCCCGCGAGCTCAATGGGAAAATGTGTTTTTGCTGCAGGACGGGGAGGCGACATTCCCCCACAGTTTTGATACTGGCCTGTCCCCAGACATGCCCAGTCCATGGTCCACCGCGGAAGTGGGGGGTGGTTTGGCTGGGGAATCGGGACGTGGGAGTTGTGGGGGGCTGAATGGTGGGCCGGGCTTTCGAACCGACCAGCGGGCTATGCGGCGATTGAAGTTGTGGGGAAACTGTTTGGGCCCGGGTCTTGGCCAACAGCCGGATGAAACTTGCGATTTCAGCACTGAAGCGGCCCCCAGTTACAATTCCGAGAACGACTCGGCGGCATCGCCCCCCTTGGGTGAGCTCAGTAGGCTCTTTCCCTGGCGCGCCTCGCGTCATGTAAGGCTGCCGCAGCATATGCGCCCGCCTCTTTTGCTTGGGTGGCTGGTGGCTGAAAGTGGGGACGCTAAGCCTGGGATGCCATCATGGCTTGGCTGCCTGGGTCAAGGCTGCGGTGAAATTCCGTTTGCATGGCTGCGTGGGTTGCTTGGGCGGTGGTGCGCTGCCAGCCCGGTGGAAAGTGGGTGACCCGGGTTCGTGGGCAGGCGGGGCTGGAGCTGAGGGCTGGTCTGGCACAGAAAGGAACAAAAAGCCAACATCAGGAGCACCCCATGCATTAACAGCTGTCCATCAATAGTAGCTGAACACAAGTGCGCACCAACCCGTGACAAAGAGAGGAGTAGCAAAGGTGAGAGACACTTAGACGAAAAGTTGCTATGGGTGCAGAACAGGAAAGACTTCAAGATGGCGCAAGTACCAACCCAGAACTACATAGCTGACCTCAACACACAGCCACTTGGAGTACAAAAAGCCTGATATTTGATGAACCACATTGGTTGCTGGCACAGTGAAGGCCAACTGAGGGAAGGAATATGAGGCAAGGAAATTGGAAAACAAGAAAAATTTTGCTGCAAGGGTCAACAAGATTGCAACGATGCTTGTGAGAATGGTAGCACTCGAAGGCTTGCAGCCAATGGCTACAGAAGCATTCCCAGAAGGAGAAAGCAAGCGGGGAGATGGACGCAGTGAAATAAGTTTTTGGATTGTCATGATCATTGTGTTCATGTTATGGGTTTTGCGGCCATGACCTTTTGGAGCATCAATGTTGCAGGCAGCTATGGGTGAAGCAATCCAAACAAAAGGACCATTATACAAAAGATTCAAGCAAACAAACAGGGCACTATCAGTCAGATAAGGGTATGAAGAAGAAAGGGCACACCAAATGCGTGGCCAACTTGAGGCACACCTACAACAACTTACAAATAGACATTACTCAACCCAGGTTAGGAACTTCACCTGGAGAAGTACCAAGCATTGTTGGAAACAGTTTAGGGTTTCACATCGCCAGGAACGAGTGCAAACCCTTCCCCATGCAGTTCACCGTCCAACAGTACAGTTTGTTTGGAACACAGTATGCGCTTGCAGCATTTTCGAGTCTCAAGAAAAAACAAGAAAAATACGTAGCTTTTCCTGAGTGACACAGAACTTTGGATCCGAAAAAACGGTTATCACACTGCTCAATTTTGCTGGAGCATTCATTCTTTCCAACCCCTCAATTAATCTAGGTTGCGCCACTCGGTCAAAGGTTTTGTCCCAATCCAACAAAACCAAAATACCTATGTCACCTGATTATTCACGGATATCTTAAGGCCGCCTTGCAACATACAAAGCATGCGTTGTACTCCTATTCTGTCTGAAACCCGAACTGCGTACGGCTTCCCATAGGGCCGATGTAGGCTGCTGAATTTTGTGACTGATAGAAGC